AAATGCCCCAGTCTGATTTTTCGACTCCCTTATCCGCTCGAACACGTTGATGTCGATGCTTTCATTCAAGTGGCCATTGAAGTTGCCATTGCTGGATCTTGCCAGGTGCGTAATGCCGTCCACAGCACGTTCCCTGCTCTCCCAAGACTCGATATCACTGCGCTTGACGCCCTGATGCAATCCGATTCCAAGCGCAGGCATCAGCAAACCCAGGGTCGTAATTAGTTTGGCAATAAGCAGCATATTCTATATCTCCCAGTTGCTTTTAAGATTATAAAGCTTGGGATAAAGGGACTGAAATTTATTGGGAAATAATATTAAAACTTCTTTGGTTTATTCAAAAAAAACCAAAAAAAATACTTTGCATTATATTCGACAGTTTTCTATGACGGTAAATAAATCCTAAACTAAGTTTCCTGCTTCAGATTGTGGGCTTTACCCGTAAGAAATTAAATGCAATTTACATAGATATTTCAAAATCAGTTGGAACCAGATCGGATGAAAAACTAAAGTACAAAAATGAACTCCATAATTTAATCTCGTGGAATGGATATTAAAGACTAGTTGAGTCGCCATTCCTAAACATTAAAAATGAGCACAAATCCTGAAATTTAACCTTGACCCGCAATTCCTATCAAAAAAGCACCTCAAAAAATAAGTTCAAGACCGTTTTCCGTCAATTTTCCACAGTTGCGGGTGAATATCCCAAAAAAAAATCACTCCAGCGTGCACTAACAAATTTAATTTTCCATCTTATATGGTTTGGGCTGTGAGTTGATTGTCAATCAGTCAGTCAGTCAATCAGTCAATCACTCAGAACGAACAGTTTTATATATTCAGAGATAAGATCCTTTCCCATCAAACTGAAGAGCTTTAACTTTGAACTAGTCGCATATTCGTGCTTATGATAACTTTAAGAATTCCAGAATTGATAACACGAAACAATATCAAAAGTATTTGAAATTTAAAGCATTTAATATTAATGCAGTAATTCACTTTCTTTCGCGCGCTGGCAACATAGAAATGGGAAATTTATTCAAATCACACTTACAAAAGATAATGAGGCGCAAATAATTTTTGTGTCTTTAAATGTTGCCAAAAAGTGTTAAAACCTTAACAAAATATTGTTCGACTAGGTTAGCTTTAATTTTTAATGTAGATTCAGCTTAAATTCAATATTGAAGAAAACACTAAAAAATATTTAAATTGTGTTGAATTTAAGAATTAGATTTGTCCCGAGAAAAACTTTGGCCGAACATTGGAAGTCGCGTTTATCGAATGAACCAGATGCAAAGCCTGGACCTTTTATATAGGCAGGACGCTGCTCGGCAACAGGACACCTCCAACCCGGACGCGAAGATGAAGCCGTCGGACACGAGCGCCCCAGCCAATGGCAGGCATTCGCCTGTGGGTGAGATGGCGCCTCGTGGAGCCGAATCCGGAGCCGGCATCGTGTCAATTGAAATGCGAATGTCTAAGGTTACGCGAGCAATGTCAGCGGCACAGACTCAGGGGCAACTTTTGGGGCTGGAAAAAGGGACATAATTGTTTTGCTTACACTGCGTCCGCTTTCACTTGTTGCCTTCCGAGCGTGCTCCATTTGAATTTAAAGTGTTTGCCAGCCCGAAGGAGCAACAGTCTAATAAAACTGTGTCGCGTGTCGCGTGCCGCCAACAATTAATGCGTCTCTGCGTCTCCAGCTCCGGGTGTGGGTAGGATTTGCCCCATGCCATTCGCCAGCGAGCCATAATCGTGTCTGCTTGAGCTGAGTTTATGGCCCAGTGTGGATGTTGCAATCCCGCCTAGTCTGCCTGGAACTGTTGTTAACGTATCCAGTCTGTTGCCTTACTGTCGATGCTTAACAAAAAATTAATCATTATCATGCGCATAATATATATACTTTATGTACTTTATTAAAATATTTTTACAATATATATAGAAGCAACATTTGGGGATATATCTTGACCCTTGCATAGAAAACTACTTCAGGAATATTGCTGTAAGGTCAGTTTTTATTTTCTTTTAGTTTGTCATCAAATTAAGCTTATTTTAAAATGAATGTATTAAAAACAAGTAAGCCTGCTCTAGTCGGGAGTTCCCGAATAGACGTTACCCTTTAAATCCAAAATGTATGATATTTTCAGGTCTGACACACAAACAACTGTTTATACCGAATCGCAGGGATACACCTTTAAAATTGAGTTTCTTACAGTTTTAGGGGCATTGGGGGAAGGTACCCAAAAGTTATATAGTATTGATATGTTTAAACTAGACGAAAATCTACATACCAGCTTTTGGTGTATCTTGCTCTTAAAACTTACGAGCTTTGCTAAAATACCCAATACCCATTCAATAATAAACTCTTTTGTGCGAATGTTATGGGAATATATGTATTTCGAATATTTATAGTATCAAACTATCTATTTCATTAACCCCATTTACACCCTTTTCTATGGATTCAGAGTATTAAAATTGTACATTATGTATACCCCGTGTACTTACCCCTTGTAGACATATTGCTGGGGACTTTGCAAATTTGTCAGGAGAACTGTAAAGCTCGTAATTGTTAATTTTTCTAACAAATATTTTAAAAATCGAAAAATTGTATGTAGTCGGATGTTGATAACATTTTAGTCATATGTAAAGAACATTTTATAGCTCGCAAGGTCTGGTTGCGATATCTTGAAAAAAATGAGATGTTTAAACTTTAATAAATGTGGACCAATGTTCGACGATAGCCTTAAAACTGATAGAAGAGCTTGCATAGACAAAGTTAAATCGACTCTTCTCTGGATACTGATCAAGAATATTAATATAGCCTTTATGGGGTCGGAGATATCTCCTTCTGTACTTCCACAGTGCATTTTATCCTAATGTTGGCAAATGAACTTTAACCTTTTATTGATCATATTCACTATTAAGCTTCAAGAGTCTGAACCTGCAAAGTAAAGACAATAATAAGATTTTAATTAACATGTGTATTTTAAAATTGTGTTATGTATGAACGTCGTAAGTTTCACAATCTCACATTTCACATTTTCTATGTGCATATTTTTTCCTTATATTCAGAAGTTTAAAAACGCAAAGTATCTTCACGCTTACCATGCATTTGAATCTTTTCGCTGTTTTTTCCGTGTTACCAGCTTATATGACGATATTAATTTGTAATTTATTCTAGTATTAAAAATATTGCTGGTGCTTTTTTACAGTTGACAATGAGTATAGATGTTAAAACCCGTTTTTAAATGATCGTTTCATAGGATGTTAAAATGATACATAGCTAAAAATAGGGGATGAGGAGGGGGGATGCATTTCACCTTTACAAACAATTATTTACAATATGTTTTAGAAATTTTTCTGCCGCTTGTATAAAGTAGCAATATCATAATTTTTATTTTCAAAATGAGCAGTTGCTTTAACGTGCATCAATCAGTGGAAACAGTGGACATATCGATAGTTTCTTGGACACCAATAGCTTGCATTATTATCGATGTATTTATTAAATTGTTTAAAAATAATGTTTCTCATATTAAAAGAAAAACTCTATTATTTAGGTACTAGCCGCAATGAAAGTCAAATTAAATAACTTGTACATCCTATACACGTTCGGTCCAAATCCATATATACAAAACTATCGATATATTAGTTCCCCTATCGAATACAAAATTAAAGTAAGGCGACAGCTCTGTTCGGCGATGACAAGTATAATTTGGGAGAAACAATACTCGACGCCGCATATTTGCTTAATATCTTACAAAAAATTGTCAATACTTTTAAATTAATAAAAAATGGTAAGTACATTTTGTCCACCATCTACAATTAAGTGAATCTGATGTAAGCGTTAAGTTTAACAGACGCAAGCTCATCGGTTTGCACATGCATGTGCGATTTGCCTAATCACCTTTACAATTCTTTTTCAGGCGCGTCGCTATGATTCCCGCACAACTATCTTTTCGCCTGAGGGTCGCCTCTACCAAGTGGAGTACGCCATGGAGGCCATATCCCATGCCGGCACATGCCTGGGCATTCTGGCAGAGGATGGTATTGTGCTTGCCGCCGAATGCCGCAGCACAAACAAGTTGCTAGACAACGCTATTCCATCCGAAAAGATTTACCGGCTGAATGAGTGAGTAAAAAAATGAACACCAAATAGTTAAATAGTAAATTCAAAACGTGATTTTTAGAAATATGGTCTGCTCCGTGGCGGGCATTACGTCCGATGCAAATGTGTTAACCTCTGAGCTGCGTTTGATCGCCCAGCGCTATCAGTTCAGCTATGGCGAGGTAATCCCATGCGAGCAGCTCGTCTCGCACTTGTGCGACATCAAGCAGGCCTACACTCAATACGGTGGCAAGCGCCCCTTCGGCGTGTCGTTGCTTTACATGGGCTGGGATAACAAGTATGGCTATCAGCTATATCAGTCAGATCCTAGTGGCAACTATGGTGGCTGGAAGGCCACTTGCATTGGCAACAACTTTGGTGCCGCGATTTCTATGCTAAAGCAGGAACTGGCCGACAAGGACAACATTAAGTTAGATGAGGCCAAGGAGTTGGCCATCAAGGTTCTTAGCAAGACTTTGGATACGACAAAGCTGACTATAGAGAAGGTCGAAATGGCCACTTTACAGCGCATTAACAACACGACGGTGTACAGCGTTCTGGAAAAGCCCGACGTGGAGAAGTTAATTGAGAAATACAACAAGTTGGAGGCTGAAGCAGAAGCCGCTAAAAAAGAGAAGCAAGCGCAGCAGCAGTCGAAATCCTAAGCAGTCTATGTTGCTTGAAATGGTACATGAATAACTTGTAATTATAATGGAAAAAGTTAATTTTGTATATGAAATAAAATTTCAAAATTATGGGTTTAGGAAATGAAATTGATTGGCGATAGCGATGACGATAAATATGCGATGTGGCAACTCTGACAATTCAAGCGAGTTGGCAGTCATCGTCGGAAATTGCCTAAAAATTACCTGTTTTTTCGTATGCTCTAAAAAAATACCGTACAAAACATTTTGTGGAAATTCCGTCGCTTTTTGCAGTTTTTGCTCCTAAGAAACTAAACTAAATTTGTAAAAATAGTAAATAATCGGTTTCCATTGATGGAAAATTACTAAAATATATTCCGCGCATCGGTATACAAATAAAAGCAAACATTAGGAAATTTTTCCTACGCAGCAGATCATCATTGAGCGCGCGTCGGTGTGAGTGTGTGTCTGTGTGTGCGTGCGTGTGCCACAGAAAGTGGCAATCAGGCAGCAGCAATAGTTAAAGTGTACAAATATTCGTTAAGCATTTGATATTGTTAATTTATGCAATAAAATGTGAAACCAATGGCAATATCTCAATGTTGTCAATACAGAAAAAAGTTGTGTAGAAGCAGCCGCAACAGCGACATCCGCAGTAGCCGTCAACGTTAACGTATAAAAGGGCAAAAGAAAAATGAGGAAAATGAAATAACACAAAAAAAAGAGCTGCGCTGTTGCGAGCAAGTAGAAGAAACGCGAAACACAAGTAAAGAAAAATCGAAATAATAAAATACATACGTACGTACTGTATGTATGTGTGTGTATCATAAAATTGTGCTTGTATGCGCAGTGCAAGTGTGTAAGTGTATGTGTGTGTGTAAGTGAAACGTATAAATAAAATTCAGCCAAATGCAGAAACCAACAACAAAATGGATAACAAAACTACACAGTTGGATTTTAAATTACTGGTAATTAAATAATGTTTTCTATATAATACCCTGCCTGTCCCAGCCCTCTCGCATTTAACTAAATACATAAATGTGTACATTCATGCTCACATGCATACACACAAGCATGCATGCATATATGTATGTATATGTAAGTCTACATTCCGTGCGACTATCAAATGAGAGTGGCAAAACAACGTGTAATGCGTAGGCAAAGAAGAGAGCGGCAGAGTCGCATGGAGAAGCAAAAGAGAGAGAGAGCGAAAGAGATAACACATGAAGTGAAGTACAGTGTGCACTAACAGTTTAATTTCAGCTGTTGTTTTTGTTGTCATCTTTTATAATAAAAATGTGCCGAGTCTCATTAAAAATTATGAGTATATTTTAAACCTCCCAAAAAGCAAAACGAGAAATTGCGAGCACACATATATGTATGTAAAGTATTTATCATGATCCATTATGTTTATGATCTGTAATCAATATTCATTTTGTCCATTCATTGTTATATTATAGCCCTTCTCTTGGGGTGGTGGAGGCAGCTGCTTGTTTTATTATTTAAAAGCTTCGTTCGTTTAACCTGCCCCTTCCGTTTTGCCCGTCCTACAATCAGTTCTTGCACAATATCCGCGCGCTTAAGCATACACACACACACAACATGGATATTTTGTGCTTGTGTCTGTGCATGAACTTCCGTAGTGTAGTTGTGTGCCCTTGCCCCACCCCTACCCTCACCTTCTACCGCCTAAGCTCTCCCCCACCTACTAACCCGTAGCACTCCCTTTCCGCATTTCCCACACCAGTGCCACATAAAAGCATTATTCTCTTCTCTTTTATTTTTTCTTTTCTAAAATGAATTGTAGTTTTGTTTTTCTTTTCCCTTTTCCCTTTCCCCTCTTTAGCCCACAAGCCAGTCAGTCAGTCAGTTTTACTTCTCCCACTTTCGACCCATTTTCTCATTGCCGTAGTTGTGGGGCTGGCTATTATTCACTTTTGTTTTGTTTTCTTCGTCGTTTTGAGAAAATATTTATTTTTATTTTTATTAGTTTATAACAACATTACATTACTTGAATGCACACACGCACACATCTATACAAACACTTATGCATAATATGAACAAGCGTATTTACATAGCTTAGTATGTTTGTATGTATGTGCATAAATACTACAAATACTACGAAATCCAACTTGTGCGCGCCACTCTGACTACATATACAATAAAAACAACAAGAGCGCCAACACTAGCAACAACGAGAGAGCATGAATTTGATTGTATTTGTGTTTGTGTTTGTGTTCGTGCTTGTGTGAGGGGGAGAACGAATGGACGAGCAAAGCACAAGTGAAGAATTGTAAACAGCGTGCACAGTGGTAAAATAAAAGGTTGCAGGAAATTTTCATCAATTTCTCGATTGTGTTCTTGTTAGAATGCGAGTAAGAGAAAGATGCTAAAGCTAATTGGTGACATTCGAAAACCGTAAAACTAAGATAGAATAGATATTATCTTATTGTCCTTGAATGTTGCGTTTGTTGTTCAGTTTTTATATGAGCTTAAAGTGTCTCAATTAAACATTTTATCGCATCTGATTAATTTAATTTAATTAAAATCTTCAATAAAAAGTACACTGTCATGCACATGAATCTACTGTGTAACTGTTTTATAGTGAATTTGAAAGGGGGAATGCTGATGTACGAAAATATTTATATATATTATATTTCAAAATACAAATTTAAGTTTTGTGCATTAAAATTTAATCTAAAATATTGTACGTCGAGTTTTTGATAAATATTTTGAGAAATTTAAACCACGAGCCACTGTACGCAGATTCAAGTCTGTATATGTTTGTGTAGCTAGTTTTGTTTCGCTTTGTGCCAATTTCATTAATAAAGAAGGACAACGTAAATGCTATTTTTATTTGATTAGTAAAACTACACAAGTGCTTACACACATACAATGTGCAATAGTGTATGTGCAAGTGTATGTAGTGTGCGTGTGTGTGATCGGCTGTGCATGTGTGCTGGTACACGTTGCATGCGCTCAAAATGTAAAACATAAGTTTGCTAAAAATGCAGCCGCGATTCTTGCCCCACTTCAGCTACAGCTGCAACTGCAACGTTTACAGTTTGGCAACCTAAATATGTGCTTTGTATGTAAACAAATACCTCGAAACATGTAAATATGTATGTCTATGTCTACTTGTGTGAGTGTGCTCTCACTCTCTTTCTTCTCACTCTTCCCCTGTTGCTTTATCGCTGTGTTTGTGCGTGCCGAACAGGTACATAACAATATCAAAACGAAGCAGCCGAAAAAGAAGCAGCCAAATCCAATAAATCAAGACAAATTGCATTTGTATTTCAAATACATGTGTACATAGGCAATCGTTTATCGAATACTCCCCAGTCTATTATACCATTTACTTTATAAGCACAGAGGACGCCTTAAACTTGGAACTTCTATAAATCAGACTTGTCTATACTTTAGTTATATAGAACTCCTTGAAATCAGACTTGTCTATAAGATAGCCATTCGCATGTTCTATGAACTTTTGACGCAACACTTTTTGTATAAAATATTTGACAGCCCGCTAAAACTGTTCCACATTTGACTTTCACAAGTCCCGTCCTATTTTCTGCTTGAAATAAAAAGGAAAAGGTGTTTTTATAATATTTACTCGTGCTTCAATGGGAAAAACAAAAATAGTGAATTCATTATTCTTCTAGAATCAATTTGAGGCTCTTTACATATGAATTTGGGTTTGTTTTGTCCTAGTCTGTGAAACATGTATTATGTTCATACCGAGAACTTAAATGATATTTTACACTCATAATTTATTCATTATTTCATTCACCAACCGTTTGTCTTACTTGTTTTTGACATTCTTAAAACATTCCTTGCCCTTTTGAGTAATTTAAAACTATTTAATTTGAAATCGAATCAGGATCAAGTAAGAAAAGTTTATGGTACTTACTTATAAAACTGACTAAATAATGTTCAACGCAAAGCCGGTACGTGGAATACAACGCAGAATTTTTGAAATTCCGTTCTTATGTGTGGCAAATTAGTGAAAACAGATTGTATACAAATTGTGGATATACCATTTGATCGACTTTAAATGGGGTACGAGCTTATATTGATTTTCCCAAGGGCGGGAAATGTGTGGAAAAGCTATTAAAATATAAAATTGAAGAAGATGAAAACGTAGTACGGGCAAAGCCGGACAATAACTGCCACTCATATACATAGTTACATATATATGGATACGTACATGTTAATTGCTTGTAATACTGAACAGCTGATAATAACTAAGCAAACAAAATAGAACACTTATCATCTTGCTAAAGAGCTTTATCAAATCTATAATAGTTGGATTTAATTGAGTCAAATAAGATTTTAATAGAAAAATTTCAATGTTTATATGATTCGCTGAGGATGCCTATTTATGAAAAGATTTAAATTCTTTCTGTTTAACATATTGCCTGTCAATTTAATGTCAATTCAATAGTTCGGTTATCGATCCTTTGATATAAAGGACACAAAGTTACAAACTGCTGTCTAGATATACAGAAAGAGAAAGAAAGTTTAAATAACTAAATTTAAATAAATGTCATGCGACTACCGCCATAAATTTGTCTTAACTCGCTTCTGATGCCCACAAACTATTTTAAAATATATAATATAAATAAGTATATCCAATTTCATTCACAAACCAAGAATCTTATACACATATGTACATGTCGATTGCGTGTAATGGGCACTATTAATCCCATTATTTATTCGGTATCTTGATTAATGTCAGGCACCACTCCCCAAAAAAGCTAAAATTTAGTTTCGTTTGAGCATGAAAGCTCGGCACGATTTACATAAATACAATAAAAGGAATCTAAAACGAATGAACCATAAATTCGAAGTGAAACAAAAGAACAAGAATTTCTCGCATGTAGCTCTTGTTTGCGCTATAGAGAACTTAAGCCTTCGTGCTTAATGTTCAAATATTTGTAAATACTATATGCATATGTGTATGTATTTATAAGATATATGTTTATACATATATATAGATATAGTATATATATATAAAGTGCAAGTATGTACGCACACACGCCCACATTACTTATTTATGTAGTTGCTGTGCTCAATTTAGTTTAATAGATATTTCAGGCACTTTTACATGCATATTTATTTATATATAAGAGAAACTTTTTGTTAGATACAATACCTTATTTATCAGGCTTTCTTTGCTTAAAGTATTTATGTATTTATAAGATATTAAACCGGCACCTTAATTTCCTGCTCGAAAACGAAAACTTTTTCGTTTTAAAATGAAAATAATCTTAATGCAAATAAACCAGACAAATGCTTTTAGCCGGGATTTAGATAAATTTATATTTATTTAGTCAGTGCTTGCTTGGAAAGCAAAATAATGCATATTCACTGGAACTTAATAAGACATTTCTGAGTATATTGCCAAAAATAATCTCGCTTGTTAATTACTAACTAACCTGTTTGATATTATTTTATCCAATAGTAAGGCAAATGCCATTAGGATTAACTATGAGCTTGGATGGATTAACGCCACATTTAAATGTAACCAAGCTCATGATATTCCAGGCCAGGCCAAAACGTAAGATCCTTCGTACCTCTAGATACTCTAATACGATTCTCGTCGACATTAGGCTTAATAACAGTATCTAAATATGAAATTATTTATACCAGACCAATAAATGTTGCAATATTTATTATTTAAATAAAACGACATATTCTGGAGTCGGTAATAAAAAGGAATCCCCATAGTAAAATATTTAGATATTTAGGGAATTAAGACAAGAATCTGAACTAAAAAAGTATTATAGTACATAGCATATCCATGTATTTGTACACACACATACACACTCATACTCGTGAATGTGTTCGTATTTATGTAATTAAAATCGTAATTTGTTTTTCCTTTACATTGCTTGCGCTCAAGCTTTGCAACAGGCACACACACACACGCACACACATCTTTATGTACATGTATGTATGTATTACAGGCACTCTCTTATAGCTGTACATGGACACGCACATAAGCATTGTTGCACGCACACAAACGCACGTGGGCTTTCAGTTTTGTGCGCTGCTCGTGCTCTCCTCTTCTTCAATCTAAACTTGCAACAATGTTAACTGTCAATTTCGAGAAGAACGCAAGCGAAAAGAGTTGCCACCGCGACGCAAGTCAATAAATTTTACACTATAATTAGAATGCTTCGGGCCGTAATTATTTATAATTCCCTGATGCTGGAACGTTTTCCGTTAGCCATTAAAGGTTTTGCTTGGTATTCCAGAAATTAAAAAAAAAAAAATTAATCTATATTGTTAAAAACTGTGTTTGGTTAAAAATATCATTTTTTGCTATCTAAAAATATATATTTGCATAACTTTTTAGTGAATATCGAAATATAAATAATTTAGTTTTTAGTTCAGGCAGACCATAGTTCCAATTCAAACTAAATATAAGCCATGCTTATGTACCGCGTTCCCTAGAAATTTAAAGTCACGCCTTTTCAGAGATGAAACTATTTTTTTGAACATCGTATTTTTATGTAAATTTGATGCAAAATCTGGCTTCGATGTCATAAATATAAGAGTAGTATAAAGAAAAAGCAATTCGCAGTTATTCAAAATAGACACAAATAAGCTTCCAAAGCATGCGAAATATTATTTGGAATAATTTTTAACATAATTGTTATTTAAAAATAGTTTTTGTAATACAACAAATTAATTCAGCAACGAAAGCGTTTTTTTTTTTTTTGACATAAATAATACACATTTGTTATGCAACAATATTATCATAGCGAGCTTATGGAAATCTCTAAAGTTATCTCATAATTATGATGTTTTTTTAATATTTATTTATTTATAACGTAATTACATCACCCTAAACGCTTTTTAATTTAAACAAAACATCCGAAAATGTTACCATGTTCAGTTGGGTTAAGTAAATTTTAATTTGAAAAATGTTTTGCTAAATACAAATGAATACAGTTTAATGTGGCGATATAAAATACATTTAATGCAGAGTACACATAAAGTGAAAAAACTCTAATGCAATCCCTAGCTTACAAGGCATCAAAATTTTTAATGAATTAGTAGTTTATTAAATCAAATATATATATAATATATATTAAGTAACCAGCTACTGGTTTGTCCGCAGCTCGTAATTAGTAATTTTCTCAATTCAATAAACATCATATTAATTTTATGCTCTTGCTAAAAGAATATTTAAAAGTTGCTAGCAGGGTCATAGTTTTGTTGTTCAGTGCCGTTGCCCCCAACCCGTTCCTTACAGTTGCCGCTCACACGCTCTCGCTCCCTCTAGCTCCTTCTATATATATAAAAGAATATACATGTCTATATATTTGTTAACCTCTCTCGCTCTCTAAACAAATGCCAGCCAGTGGGTGGGTTATGGGAGAGCAATTTAGAGAGCGCCATCATGTTTTTACAACTACAACTACAATAATTTGTTGACTCGCTGCTTTAACTCTCTCACACACATAAATATAGCCGCGCACACACACACACATATACATTAACATTATATACAGAGATGGCAACATTGTGGAATGGGGAAAAAGTAGCACAAACTGTGCGCTGTTTTAATTTCTTTGTCCCCCCTTTAGCCAACATCGTCGCTGGCAGCACGCTTTTTTTTTTTTTTTTGCATTATTGTTGTATATGTGTATATACATATGTATGTACACATATACATAGAATTTTTATTTTTCCTGCTATTTTTTATACACTTTTGACTTTGCCTGCCATCTTCGCTATGCTGTGCGCTAATCGTTCGCGTTGGCAGCGCAGTTACTGTCGCTGTCGCCGCGCTGTCTGCTGACGGTCTCATTGACGACGACGTCGACGCTAACGCTGGCTGAGCTGAGCGCGCGCTCTTGGCGCTCTAATTGCATTAAATTGTTTGGAAAATCATAATCAGTAATTGCATTTGATGACAGTTTTTGAGTGCACGTGTGAGTGTTGTCTCTGTTCAACTTAATTGGAGTAAAAACATACAAAACACACACACAAACACGAACACAAACACATTCACTCGTACTTACAGTGCATACATAATTGATTTAATTGAGAATTTCATTAATTATACCATTTTGGGAGCACGTGACAACACTGCCACACATTGTCGTGTGGGCCGCGCACCAAATGGGGCCACCTAACGGAAGTTGGCCATTTTCGCGGCATTTTAATAAATATTGAATAAGCTATTAATGGAGCTGGCCAACACCAACAACTGCGACTACTTCAAATATGAAATCACAGTATTATTAAAGGGGGCCCCTAAAATGTATATAATACATATTCGAGTCGTAAGATCGGCACAAAATCAACCAAAAATTAGTGTTTTTTAAATCTTTCAATCAAAGTTAAAGCCAATTTAATTTCCTGGAAGCCATATAAATTGTGAAATGTGTATCGCAAAGAAGGAGACGTCTCAGAGCCCATTAAGTGTATGCATATATTTTGTTCAGTATTCCGACCGTCTGTTTCTATGTTAATAGTAGTCCAGTCCACTCAATTATATGATGAACATTTTTATGAGGGATATGGAAGCATTGATAAACTGACGATCAGCTGATATAATTATTTATATATTACATTCTACTTTGCCACTTTGTTGCCATTTAACGAAAACACTATTATTTTGCATTTTACAGGTGGATCAGTCTGTGAATCTACTGGATAGTCTGAATGCGGCGTCGCGGTGCGATGCGATCAAATTTCTGCTGCAAACGCTTAAGTGCAAATACCCAGAGGCCTGCGACAGAGTCGTCAGGAATCTGTTCAGTCACAATCCGAATGACAATGGCGCCGGGACGGACGCAACGCAGCTAGCGAAGAGCGAGCAGTTGCAGCTGCTGCTTGCCACCAAGAAGGAGAAAACGGAGCCGGGTGTGAAGATAAAACGGGAGAGCGAGGATGAGGCAGCCGCCATCGATTTAAATCAAAACTTTGAGAAGATTCTCTGCAAGGAGGAGTTTATGTGCCTCGACGAGGAGGATGACTTCCTCGATGATGACGCCGATACCGAGAACTCGTCTTCCATGAGCAAGCGTCTGAACTTTCACCGCGCCATCAGCTCGAACGCCAGTGTCAGCAACAATGTGGATACGATTACCGGAGCAGGTCCCATCCTCTCCAGCGATCCCCTCGATCTGATACACACGGCAGCAGCGGCCAGTGGCTTGGTGAAGCGCAAGTATGCAGCGACGTTCGATGAGGAGGCGGATGAGGACTACGAGAACGGCGATGACTATGACAATGGGAGCAATAGCAACAACTGCGAAGAGCTCTTGCTGCGCCGGCAACAAAAGCTTATCGGCTCCACGTCGTTGGTCAAACGGAAGCGTAGCAACAACAGCCACGTGGCCAGCTTGGATGTTATGGCGCCGGCCATACGCGCCCGCCTGGGCGAGGGCTATGTGTTTCACGAGGACAACCAGTACACGCTACGCTACCACCACAGCAGCGGGGAGTTCAGTGAGCGCGCTTTCAGGGCGCAGTTTCGAGTGCTGCTGCGTCTGGCGCTGAGCCAACATCACAAGCCCTTCCTTAAGCAGTTCTACGACAACTTTGTGATCACCGGCCGGCTGCTGGGCACAACGCCTTCGACACGTGTGCTGAAGGAGCTGCGCGAGCAACGGCTGGACGAGTGGCGACGGCAACGCGAGCGCAGACAGCTTGCGAAGGCCGCCGCCGAAGCTGCAGCTGCTGCCGCCGCTGCCAGGTTGCTGGGACAGCAGCAGGAGCAGGAACAGGAGCAAAGGCAAAAGCAAAGCCAACAAGTGGACCAACATCTCGAAGTGCCGCTGCTGCTGGAGAACCAAGAGCAGCGCCAGCTCAGATCCATTTCGTTTGGCGACTCTGAGCTAGAGTCAGAGACAGAGTCGCAGCTATCGTCGGCCCAGGAGATTATGAAGTTCGAGGAGTTCATTGACGATGGTGTAGGCGCAGGTCGTCTCATCGATGGGCTGGAAATGGAGCCTGAGATTGACGAAATGCTGGCTGGCGTAGGCAGCGGATTGGACAGCGTAGCTGGCACCGGCAGCGGGAACAGCAACAGTAACAGCAGTGCCGTCCACGACAACGGCATTGCCTCCCTTCTCATGGACACCAGCCATGGGACGCAGATTCATTCTACCCATCTGTAAGTCAACTAATCCAAAAATACATTCCAGAGTGCTCGACTAGCAGATACCGTGTACGCAGACATAGATTCGTAATTAACATGCACACAATTTTACAGATCAATTAGAATAATAATAAGATTTTAATCTTTCAAAGTGCAATCATGTGAAATATAAAGTCACATAACACCAAATTTGGAATATATGTAGGTTCTCTTGTTATTAATATAATCATTATCCATGCAACATTTTAAATGATAATTTAAAGTCAGATTCAAATATATTTAATATACTACTGAGGAAATATTCGCCACGTAACGTGCTTCGAGCAGGATAAACAACGATATAAATGTACTATTAAGAAAATTATATAACAAATTATGAGCAGATTTTGCAAGCACCTTCCCACTCATTTCATGCTTTAACTTGTTAAGAATTATAAGCGTCAAGCAACGAAAAGCGCAATGTATTGATGTCTGATATATCCTCTCGTTAAAGATAGAATAAACTAAATATTTAGGGCAGTATTTTAAGACCTTGGTACAGGATATCTACTAGTCGGGCACACAGGACTTTCTTATGTTAAATTTGCACTCGAAAATTAAATTACGTTTTCTTTTATTTTATTTTTCAGCAATAGCAGCAGCAGCAGCGGTGCGAATCTTGTGATCAATGGCCTTACATCGTCAAGCAATATTAACAACAACATCAATTGTAACAAGGGCGACAATTCGCTGTCCCAGCAGCTGGGACCGGAGCATGCCGCCAAGCAGTCGGCGTCGCAAGGACAGATGCAGACGCAGTCGCAGCATCTGGCCATGCCCATGAGGACTGCGTATGGACTCGAAGGTGTCGCCATGTCGGCGACGACGCAGCTGATGTCTGGCAGTGAGATTCAGCTGCAGAATGAGAATCAGAGCCAGAACCAGAACCACTATAATTCAAGCAATAATCCAATCTCAATGCCGCCCATCATTGAGCAGATGATGCAAATGCAAATGCAACAACAGCAGCAGCAACAGCAGAGCCCCTTTCCACAGCATCAGCATGCGCAAATGATGAATAATCGTCAGTCGCATCTGCATCCGCATCCGCATCCACATCAGCAGTCGCAGCCACCGCACCTGGCTACGTCTGGAGTCGGATCTAATGCGTGTCCGCAGCTGAACTCCTCGCTGGAGTTGGATGATAACGAGCTATCGGGCGAGGAGGAAGATGACGAGCTGGACAATGAGATGGACGAGCTGGACGCTGCCAAGCAGCAGCTCATTGATGGCGGCAGCAGCAGCAGCACCTCCCTGCAGGCGCCGCCCTCCCAGCTCGGCGGCAGCCAAACGCCCGGTAGCAAGAAGGACAAGCCCAGCTACAATTGCTTGCTGTGCCCCAAGTCCTATCGGAAGCGCAAGTCCCTGTTGGACCACTACAAGCTGCATCCCGGCTACTGTCACGACTGCGGCCAGCCCAACGGCAACACGCTGGAGGTACGAACGCGACCCATTCATATGCTTTATATCACAAAGATACGGACGAGCAGGCTTACCTGAAATATTTACGTTTATTACCCAAGATCCGCTTGCCGAGCTTTCATACATTGGTTGATCGTTCTATCATGTCATATTGCTGCTGCGGTTCAGTAACATTTTGCATCGGTACCAGAAATACCGGAATTTAGCAGAATTGATTACAATTATATTCCTACCTGGATATTGTTGATATCGACAGTTCGTAGAAACCTAATGACAGCTGCATCAAATTTACGTAGATGCAATTTTAAGTGTTAAATATTGTCAATCATTCGTTTCATGGCTCAAACCAATACTTTTCCATACATATTGGTTACATCTATGAACCCAGGTTTTCATTCATATCTTGGTTTCAATTCAAAATAAGACTAGAGATTCAAAACAATGACCATTTTTGGCCCCAAAGGTTTAGATTAATGCAAGTTTGCAGCCTCTTCAGCAAACTGTGGTTGGATGCAACTTTGTTCTTCATCCAAGCCTCGATATCGGCATATTAATAGATATTTTTACAAATTGATTTGGGAATTGTTTCACCGTCTTTAAAGGTAGGTAATCCTTTTGTAAGTCGGATATTGGTGGATAGATAGTAAAAATACCTGTGTTCATAGGTCAAAATAAATATAGGCCAGCTATTAGTTGGGACAATAGGTTCAGAACAGAGTTTCTTCAATAAGAGTAGTAAGACAATAGACAAAAGACTTTTATGAGACTTCCTTTATATTATTATAAACACAGATAAAGTACTTATTTGTATAATGTAATTGCAGGAAATTATTCAGCACAATCGGACGATGCACGTGAAGGAATTTCCGTTTGTCTGCGAGACCTGCGGCGAATCCTACTCGCGTCGGCAGCAGTTCCACGCGCACGTCGAGTCGCACAAGAAGGATTTCAAAAGTGAGTCGACGTGAATGTAAATTTCACCAAAGCCGCCGGTGCCTAGTAAAGCCTGGTCGAGGCATTTTAACATGTATATATATCGATAAAGCGAAGCTTTTAACTAATATCGTTGTTCTATTGTTGTTTGTAGTCTTTCCGTGCGGGGAGTGCGGCCTGAAACTGTCGCAGAAGAAGATGCAGCAGCACTTTGAAGAGACGGGCCACAAGGCCGACGGCGCCATCTGCGAGGTGTGCGGCGCCGAGTTTCCCTCAAAGAACGCCCTTTATCAGCACATTATTCGCGTGCACAAGCGAGACAACTTCTTTGAGTGCCACATTTGCCATAATCGCTTCACTCTCAAGGCCAATCTGGAGCGGCACGTGCAGCTGCACACTGAGGTCAAGCGCACCTACGTGTGCGACCTGTGCGGCTCCTCGTACTTTACATATCCTGCGCTCAAGGAGCACTACAGCAACGCCCACGTCGATGTATCCGAGTGCAAGTGCACGCTGTGCGGCAAGCGCTTTGGCTCTGCCAAATCGTTGCAGCGCCATTTGCCATCACACTCAGAGGAACGGCCGCACTGCTGCAACCACTGCGATCAGGTATGTTTATTGCCTTGTATTTTTATTTGGGAATTAAACTCATCTTTTCTTTTCGGTAGACCTTCAAATGGAAAACACATTTGGTGCGCCACAAGCAGACAATGCATGGGAATCAGCCGCCGCCTCCTAAAAAGGGTAAACAGCGTTTCCCCAAATCGAATGATGAAGGTAAGTGCATGTTTATCCCGTGAATGTCGACAATTTACTTATTTGCTCTTCTTCTGTCAGATATGGCGCCACTGCCTGATATGCCAGGACCACCACCGGTAAAGGCAAGCAAAAAGTCAGCAGTCGGCAAGGCAAAGTCACAGCCGGGAACGGCAGCTGCAGCCGCGGCACAACAGCAGCAGATGCAGCAAGGCGCCGGAAAGGCAGTTAGCGTGGGGGCAACGCCCACTCCGCCGCCACCATTGTCTACAACGCCGGGCTGTTCGCAGCAGGATCAATTTAATGCCGCCATTGTGAGCAGCAATAGCTCGCAGTCCTCAACGGCGTCAACGTCGCAGCACTCGGTCTCCACGAGCGAATCTCAGCAGAATTCCATGTACAATCAGAGCTTTAGTGCAGACAAGTTGCAACAACAGCAGCAGCAGCAACAGCCGCCGCCGACGCAACAGCAAAATGCGCTACATCAGCATCAGCAACAGCAACAGCATGCTGCAGCGACGCCGCCGCCATCGCAGCAGCAAGCGGTGCCACCGCCTCAGCAGCAACCGCAGCCGCACCATCGCCATACGCCCCACACGCCCCATACACCCCATACGCCCAACAATAGCACTCCAGAGCTGCATATGCAACGGATGAACAGTTTTGGTGGCCAGGAGAGCCAGTTCCACTTTGAGCCCACTAGCAATACGGCGGGCGGTTATCAGCAACACCAGATGATAAGTCAATATCAACAACAGCAAGCGCAGCAGCCGCAACAGCCACAGCAGCAGCAACAGCAACAACATATGCGCAGTCACACGCCACAGAGCCCTCATCCGCATCCCCATCCGCATCAGGCGCAGCAGATGCAACAGCAGCAACATTTCACCTCGCCGCACCACATGCCCCCAATGCATCACCAGCATCAGTTAATTCTACAACAGCATCGTCACACCCATTCGCCCCAGCACCAACACTCGCGATTGCAATCGCCGCAGCCGCAGCCGTCGCCTTCAGCCGCTGCGTCCGCAACGCAGCAGCAATTTATGCAGCAGCAACAGGCAACTGACTCCTGGGGCAACATGGGCTTTGGCGGGGCTCCGAACAACCAGCCAGTCGAGCTCAAGGACAACAAGTTCTACATTGTCGACTCGACCGAGTTTCTCGGGCTTCCAATGAACGTCGGCGCCCCAGCGCCGTCCACTCAGCAGCAGCAGCAAGCAGCCGTCGGCGTCAACAAGGCACAGCAGCAGCAACCACCACCACAGCAGCAACAGCAGCAGCAGCAGCCACAAGACCCAGCGTTGACTGGCGAATTATTGGGCTTCCAGCACATGTGGCCACAACAGGTGCAGCCTCAGCAGCAGCAGCAACAACAACAACCACAGCAGCAGCCGCCAACGCCACAGCCACAGGCGAACCAAGTCGGACCGGGAGATGCTCACAACTATAACAACATAGGCAGCATTCTCACGAATCTCATCGACACGAATCCCACGCCTTTGGAGTACAACTTTGACCTAATGCCACAGCCGCCGCCCCAACAGCAACAGCAGCAGCAACAACAACCACAACAGCCGCAGCAACAGCAGGCGGCACAGCAACATCACAATGCCGGCGGCGCCTATGGCGCTGGTCTGATGCGGCATGCGGGCGCTGGCAATGTTTACGAGCAACATTACAACCACAGCGCATTGAGCGAGCAGCTGGTCAGCGAACAGCAGAAGCATAACAGCTTTCAGCCTTACCATGCCCACGCGCATGCGCACGGCCTGCAGCAGCCGCTGCACTCGCTGGCGGGCGCTACGCACTTGTTGCCCCCGCCGCCGCCGCACGGCAGCGTCTATGAGCGCACGGCGCCGCCGGTGGGTGTCGGCGTAGGTGTGGGCTATCCGATGCTGGGCGACGATACGAAGTCAGTGCTGCCGCCTATCAACGACTATATGCATCATATGCAGCAACAGCAGCCAGATCTAATCTACTATCCAGTGAAGAACGATTGACAACCAAAGTAGCCGGCGCTGGGTGGTGTCCCAGGGCACCACCAGCACCACCACTACGCGCATAATCATAATCATAATCATAATCTAACGCGCTGGTGGCCAGCACCAGCAGCAACTTTAGGCGCCAAGAGAGGCGATGTTTTTCATTGAAAAACATTAACACAATAAACATTTGTTTAAGTCTGTACGTTAAAGTGTTCGAGATCCGGATCGGAATCGGAAGCGATTCGTGGCACTTGTGTAGATAACAAAGATGATTCTAACTAGATAAGGTTAACAATAACAAACATAAACACTGGAATGTTATGAAATATAGAGCAATAACTTGAAGATTGGAGCTGCGATGCTCAGTATATCTAATCCGACCGACCCTATGAGGCACGTGTATTGTATACAATAAACTGAATTATAATAATAATAATACAGACAGACACACAACCTGTACACAAAATCAAATGCAATGGAAAGAAGATGAACATGAACATGACTACAGACATATATACATAGTAGCGAGTAAGGAAAACAACAAACAAAGAGGGGAATAAACACTATACATAATTACGTAAATGTTGTAATATGATATGATTGTAGCCCGTAAGCATGTATCAACAATAACGGCAGACCACAGCAACAACAAACTTTCGAACAAATTTTTGCAACATATTTTATGCTTATCTAACTTAAATGAGAACACAAATACGTACGTTGATATATGTATAATCAAAGCAGCAATATATATACATATGTATACATACGCATACGTATCCCCCATATGAGTCGCAACAGACAGACCCTTAAAAAACGATAAAACGATTGTAGATTTATTTGATTGAATTAGCGCTTGGGGCCTACATCACACCCAAAGGAGGCAAGATCGAGACCCGGACAACATGAAAGTTGTTCTAACCATATCACGAGGCCCTTTGCCGTCAAATAATTATATTATATATAAATAATAATTTTAATTTCGATAGTGCTTGTTATTTTCTATTTAGTTGAACAATCAATGATTATATATACATACATACATTTATTACATGCAGACACATATGCATAAAATTTGATTTACATGACCTAAAATGCCGATTGAGCCCACATTTTTGTTAGATTAGTGCCTAAGTCTAAATGTATATCCATTTTGTGGCTTTTTACACCCAAAACTTGTGTAATTATTAATTAATTGAAAGTGCATACTGCTATATGGTATGCCCCTCTATCTCCCCGTCAATAGTTGCATATGAAAATGTATTTGTTTAAATCTTTTGGGCAATCTATTCCCAAAACGTTTGTATAAATTGTAAGCACACATCCAAATCTCCTTACTTCCTTCGCTTCCAAACGCAACTAAAACATGTTTATTGGTATGTATGTATTTCCTTAATTTTCTTCAGACCCCCTAAGTTTATCATATTAATTATAGCGTTGTTCTTGTTTACAAATTGTGTATTCAATTCAGCTAAGAAACATTACATAAGTGAAAGTTTAAAACGATACAAGTGTAAGGCTACTTTTATGAACAAAAAAGCAACCAACAACTACATTAAATTAGATTTGTATTCTGGATACAAAAATAAGAAACAAATAAAAAAAAACAAAACAAACAACAAAAAAAAATAAATAAAAACAATTAAAACACACACAAAAATATAAATAAAATTTGTATATTTAATAAAAATAGCAAAATAAAAATAAATAAAATTCTTTTAAAAAACTTTTGAGTAATATTATTCCAATTGATCACAAAATCGAAGACTAGCAATATCTGATAAATCTGTTTGTATAAAAGGGTTTGTCTTGTACCCCAAAAGCTAAGAAACTAGAATTTATTTTTCACTAAGACAATCAAGGAGTAGCATTTTATAAGATCTTTGTATATCCATTGGAAATTCATTTTAAAATTCACATCTTCATGGGGAAAAATGAAATGAAACCTGATTTTAAAATAATTCTACACTTGCCAGTGTTATACATACATAGAAAGCCCATATTGAAATTTAAACTATTTATTTGCACTTTTCCAATCATTCCCAACTCTGAAAAACAATTTTTAGATATATTTATCAAATATCTAGTTTACGCCGCCGATAAGATTTACAACGCGATTCTTGTAACGTTTTGAAATATCCTTTTCAATAAATGCTTGTAGGGTCCGGGTTTGTTCAATCAGCTCATCTAAGACGGGATTCAATTTTTGACGCTCCTCTCGTAATTCCACGGCACGTTTTTTCAGCACCTCCCGAGTTGTGCGCAGCTTCTCCACAGCCTTTGTCATCTGCTGCAGCTTGCTGGTCAGCAGGTCGGCGTACTTTGGTGAATGTTTAAGTTGGAAAAGATGACTCGTCTGCTCATCGGACGACTGTTGAATGATCTTCTCAACATCGGCCAATATTTTGCCAATACTCTCGCTGTCATGCGTGGAAATGTTGTCCATCAGTGAGAACATGATATTATTGGACGACTCCAAATGATTAAGCTCATAAAGACGCATTTGCAAAAATGCCTCCAACTCGTGTATTTCGTCCAGAAAACGGTCGCGATAATTGGGCGAATCGAGTAGCGTATAGGCCTGATCACCTGAAATATGTAATCAATGTTTAAAAAATAGAAACAAAACATTTTTCTGAGAGCAGACCTTTAGCAGTTCCACCGTCCATGCCAGTGCCCTCGACTACAATGCCGTACTCCTCGACGGGTATATCAAAATTAATCTCAACCGCATCTGTAGGCGCGCTTTCAATGCCCCAATCTATGTTGCCGCCATCGGTTTCCTGGAAGTCACCGTAGTCAATAATCTCCGCGGAGACTGTCGAGGATGTACCGCCGTTGTCATCAGTGCCAAAGTCTATTTCGTTGCCATCGTTTTCTTTACCCGTGTTGGATCCGCTAAAGTTAAGCCGCACCTCTGGTTCCTCAATAGCAAGAGGGGCTTCTTTGTGGATGTATTGATAAACTGTAGTGTTTCCATGCTCCACCAAATGGCGCAGAATAGGCAGGCATTGAGTCTGTCCGCTAAATTCCGCGTATAAATCAATACCAGCTTGCACTCTTCCAATGTTTCGCAAGGACTTTGCGTATAGGTCTGGCAGGCCTGCCAGCACTTCTATGAATTCAGCATGCAGGTTATCACCTTTAACACCCAACTGCTCCAACAGGGCGGCGTGGTCCGCCAGAAGCAGTGCCTCTGGTTTGTGCAGGTCGTGGGCTCGCTTTAAGCACTCATCGGTTAGCTGTTCCAGTTTGATCATTTGCTTCCGCACTCCAGGTATTTCATAGTTCACATTGCGCACGAATATTTGCGCGGTCTCCGCGAGGTATGTGGCGTTCTTCTCGTACAGGCGGCAGACTTCCTGCCAGTCTTTCATACGCTGACTGCCATAGGTGCCAAAGACGCTTTTCGTATCCTTTTCCGTTTGCTTAAGTATTTCGATTATCTCCTTGACATGCAGATAGTTTATATCTGCAATAGTTACGACCATTAGTTGCGAAAGAAAAGTGTTTACTAATATGGAAACCTACTGGAACCAGATAACAATTTTATTAATTGATCATTGGCGGGCATATCATGTAGGGCGTTGCTGATTTTTGAATGTATATCCTTGATCGGAGCCTGTACATTCTTTGGAACAATGCGTCTGCTTATAAGCCAATCCTGAAGCTTTAGCGTGTGGATGTCAATTGGTATCTCCGATTCCTAATTTTTACCATAAACAGGTTAGTCAACAGAAACATGTAAAAGTGATAGAATTTTCGCGCTTAGTATTTAATTATTAGCAATTTGGCAATATAATTTGTAAAACTTACATTCATTTTAACGTTGTTGACGTAGCTGTTTGTTTTAAGAGTTATAAGCGCTATGAGGTTGTGCACGATAGTTCACGAAGCGCAACTACGTCACAAGTGGACCTATCGATAGGTGCACAAATGAAATCGATATTTTTAAATTTTAAATAAAAACAAAAATAAATAAATTCATTTATTAGACCTTAGACGGTACGACCCTAAATTACAATAAAACAACTTAATTATATTCGTTTGTCGATAATTTCTAGACAGAATTTATGTAAAATATTTCAGTACTTTTCCTCTCTGGGTTTCCCCTCTAATGTGCTTACCTGAAAGACTGTTGTGAAAATGTTCGCGTATAGCATAACGAAACAAGTTAATTGTTAATTTGTATTCCATTATTTAGTTTAACAAGGAATCTCGAATCTCATTTATATTCATTGGTTTTGTAAACATTTTTACATATGTACGTACATATATTTATACACTTAGGGAAAATATATATACATTAGGTAGGGGAAGGTAACTAACTCCTTTAAAATACGTTTGAAATATTCGGAATGGCGAACGTGTCAGAATCATCTCTGAACATTTGCGACACCTGGGCACTGGGCAGCACCTTTTGGGAGCTACCCGTTTTTGTTTTACGCCAGTGATCCCATTCATTTGGATGCATCCGCTTTTTGTGGGAGTGCATATTAGCATTTGAGTTAAAGGTCCGCGGACAAAAGGGGCATTTATATAGTGGTTCACCAGTATGCTGAGCCATGTGCTCCTGAAATTTAGATATTATTGATATACGTGTATATATAAGCAGGTAATTAAAGTTTAAAACCTTAAGGCTAATATCCTTTTTGAAAGTTTTGCCGCACTGCTCGCATGTGTATATTGTATTCGAGTGTGAATAACGCTTGTGGCCTATGAGGGCGCGCGAGTTCTTGCAGCTCTTGCCACATTCAGTGCAGATGAACGATTTACCCTCGTCGTTATGGCGTCTTAAATGCTGCTTCAAATTATCCTCATCTTTAAGCCAGCTCTCACAGTCTGGACGAGGGCATTTAATGCGCGGCCCGCTTTCTTCAAAATGCAGCCGGACGTGCTTCTCGAAGACAGCCTTATCCTTGATTTCTTTTCCGCACACATGGCACACGTTAGCTGCTTTGCGGTGCTGCATACTAATATGAACCTGCATGTGGTACTCGGTGGCAAAGCTGGAAATAAATGAGTGTGTTATTTAGCGGTTGCCTTAATAATGTAGCCGGTTACGCACGCATTATGTTTAGGACACTCTGGACAGATGAACTTCCGCTCGCTGGCTGGCACATGCGAACCCTTGTGCAATTCCAGGAGATTGCGCCGGGAGAAACGCTTATCGCACTTCTCGCACTGGAAATCACATTCCTCGTCAGGCACGTGGTGCACCAGCCAATGCGCGCGTAACACGCTCGAATTGGCAAACACCTTTCCGCAGTCGTTGCATCTGAAAACCACACATATAAGTAGGAATACAAATATGTTGGTACATTTAATATGCATAAATTTACTTAATATATTCAGGATTCTCGTGACGCCTGGCATGCTCGACAATTAGGCAACGTTTATTCAATTTTCGACCGCAACATTTGACGTAGGGGCGCTCGCTTGGGTGTTTGTCCTTAAAATGATCTCGAATGCCGTCGAAGTCATCTGCCAGAAATATGCACAGTTCACAGCCCATTACAATATAACGTTTTATTAAATCCTCGTCCTCTTTACAAAATGGGGGCCATTGCTGTTTCCTGAATGTCCTTTTTGTCGTGGATTTCCGCTTTTCATGGCCTTTGGCTTGTGTTACCTTTTTTACTTTGACTGTCCTCAACTTATCACTCGTTTCGGTGTCACGTTTCCGCTTGCGCCCACTTCGTGTAACGATAATATCAACGTCGTCCAATTGGTTGACGAATTCGTCTGGCGTGAGTCTCTCTAGTTTAATGTCTAGCTTACTTTCGGGGCCAATATTCGAATATGTTGACATTTCCAGGTCTAATTCATCTAAAGGATTAACGCTAAGTTGTGTGCTGGTATAATCGTTATTTGTGCCGCCATCCACTGTGAGCTCATCGGCCGGCATCATTACCTCCTCTGGCCACGACGAGCTCATCATATCCGGATCAGGATCCTGTTTGAATTTCGGTGCATTGGCAAAAATTACCTGAGCCTCTTGTATGGACACGTAGAACTGATGAAACTCAGAGACCTGCGTCCAGCACACATTGCACACAACTTTCGATATTGCATCGTTCGGTAATACCTGTAGGACGAAGAATGACCGAGTATATGTACAAATGTCAAATTGTGTGCTTATCGCTTGCCTCACCTCAAACCAAAAATGCTGGCGCAGAACTTCCGCAACATTTGGCACGTTACCTTCTGCACCTGCATCGCTGCTAAAGATTTGAAGACACATCTGGGAGCCACAACCACGCAAGCATAGCCGACAAATTTGTGGTTCCATTTTAACAGCTTATTTAAAGGCTCTTAACGCCTTGCCCAGCGATTGAGATCTGTCTGCGTGGACTGGCAGTAAGTGACCACAGTCTATTTTGTTGTACAAAATTTATTAACTTAATTGTGGATTAGGGATGTTGACTTCATATCAATATATCGATATTTGACATCAGAATTTACGATATTGTCATAAAATGTGTGATAGCGGAGATATCGATATTCTTAGTTAATTGTTTGTTGCAATAAATTAATTATTAATATGCAGAAAACTTTATTTTTTATAAAAATATAGCGCATTTATTATTATATTATATTATATTTTAATAGCAAATAAGCTGAGTTGGTATACAAATTGTGGCTCCTTTGTTTTTAAACATTTATTGAAATTAAAGCACATTGTACTCAATGGTGAAAAAAGTGTTGATTTCTTAACATTTAGATTGTGGATACTCTCTATTGAAAAAAGATTTAAAATACATCAAAAGTCGTTGCATGCAACGTACTGACTGTCGTTTTATGCATGATGAGCATGAATGAAATGCAAACTATATCAAATTTATCGATAGATGTTTATAGGCGATATCGATAAAATTTCCGAGACGAAAATTGTATTTCTAAAAAAAAGAACATAAATGTTAAAAATTAAAATACACATAACATAACAGCATGAAGGTAAAACTGATACATAAACAATTTGCGAGTATTATACGTTTCTCTATTTAGCGCATTAGCGAAAAAAAGCTGGAGGCCTTTACGGTCGGCACATTTTCCAAGCGGCAATTGGTAAGTTCTTAGAATATCAATATTATGTCTTTAAATAAACAATAGCAAATGTTTTAGTCCAAAAAAGAATTAGAGGAGCAGAAGAAGAAAGAAGATGAGGCCGCTGCGGCACATGTGAGTTTAATAAAGCATTATATTTGATTCGTGTTGTAATAAAAATGTTTTTATTATGTTCAGGCGTTTAAGGAGTTTGTTGAGACGTTTCAAGAAACGCCCACAGCGTCTTCGAAAGTGTGGGTGAAGGCTGGCACATACGATGCGGGCTCCAGGCGAGAGGACAAAAGCGAAAAAGGCAAACTGTACAAGCCGGGCTCCAAGCTTGATAAGAGTGCTTCCGAGAAGGCGGAGGACTATGCTAAACTGTTGGCCTCTGATCTTAAGAAAGATCCAACACCACTAAAAAAGAAGAATCAGGAGAAAAAGAAGAGCAACTTGGAGCTGTTCAAGGAGGAATTGAGACAGTAAGACAGTGACAATTTCATAAAATTACCACCTGTGTAACGTGTCCTTAATATCTTTACAGAATACAAGAAGAACGTGAAGAGCGACACAAGTACAAGCATATGGCAGTAGCAACTGCTCCAGTTTTACAGCAGCAAAAGCCAGAGCCACAAGCTCCGAGCACTTCACAGCAGGCGAGCAACGCTCGAGATGCTGGGGGTTCATTTGACACTGGCGATCCGAACACAACGAACCTGTATTTGGGCAATTTAAATCCCAAGATTTCCGAGCAGCAGTTAATGGAAATTTTTGGTCGCTATGGTCCGCTAGCCAGCATCAAGATCATGTGGCCACGTTCTGAGGAAGAAAAGCAACGTGGTCGAAATTGTGGGTTTGTGGCATACATGAGCCGCAAGGACGCTGAGCGGGCGCTACGCACTCTAAACGGACGCTATATAATGGGCTATGAAATGCGTTTGGGCTGGGGTAAGACGGTACCCATTATGAATACACCAATTTTCGCACCGCAAGCCCTGTTAGAACTGACATTGCCGCCACCTCCCTCGGGTCTGCCTTTTAATGCTCAGCCGCCGCCTAGCGAGGCAAATACATTGCCCAAGAAGAACTACAAGGATTACGATTCTATTGAGGACAAGGAGAATATGGAAAGAGTGAGTCGACCATCTTTTCTACAAGAGCATTAAGATATTAAAAGTGTTTAATTGATTTGTAGGTTCTGAGCAAATCCATTGTAAAAGTCTTTATACCGACGGAGAAGTATGGTTTCTTGGAATGTATTTAATTAGATCGGTTCACATTTGTATGTCTGTATTGTCTGCATTTTAGATCTGTACTGAATATCATACATCGAATGATCGAGTTCGTAATACGAGAGGGTCCTATGTTCGAAGCGCTGATCATGAGTCGCGAATTGGAAAATCCCATTTTCTCTTTTCTCTTCGACAACGAAAGTCCAGCACACATATATTACCGCTGGAAGCTTTTCTCGCTGTTGCAGGGCGACACACCGAGCGAGTGGCGGGAGCAACAGTTTCGTATGTTTAAGGATGGGCCTGTCTGGAAACCTCCTGTGGCTAATTTCTACACTCAAGGCATGCCGGATGAGTTGGTCGTCGACCCTGATGCACCTGTGGTGCATAAAGGCGCCTTATCGAACGCGTAAATCATGTTGTTAATATCCACAAACTTGTCTATTTATAAATCGTATCTTGAATGGCAGGCAACGTGATCGACTGGAAGACCTGATACGGGCATTGACACCAGAACGCGCACGCATCGGAGACGCAATGATATTTTGCATTGAGCATGCTGATGCCGCCGATGAGATTTGCGAGTGCATCGCCGAGTCGTTGGCAAATCCAAAAACGGTGGCTTCAAAGAAGATTGCGCGCCTATATCTTGTGTCCGATATATTGCACAACTGCACTGTGAAGGTGTCAAACGCATCTTTCTTCCGTAAATCGTAAGTTTATGTGAGTTCATCTGAAGCCTTCACTGATTGGCTTCCTTACAGCGTGGAGAAGCAATTGATGGACATATTTGAGAGCCTTCACACTTATTATTTGGCTATTGAGAGCCGACTAAAAGCTGAGGGCTTCAAGACTAGAGTTTGCAACGTAATACGCACATGGGAGGAGTGGACAATTTACCCAAAGGATTTCCTATCGCAATTGCACGCTATATTCTTGGGTCGACAGGTATGTATAGCGTTGTATTTGCTGATAAGATAATATTCACAGCGGGGAAATAGTTTGCATTGCAGTCTACCTCACCAGTGCAAGCAGATGAGTCGCGCTCGGAAGAAGCTCTAGATGAGGACATAGACGGTGCGCCACTTTCTGGGGAGGAAAAAGACGATGAGGATTTGGATGGTGTGCCCCTTGACGGTGCTGCACTGCTAAAGAGCGCTCTGAAGCTTGTCCTACCAGAGTCAACGGTGGCTATGCAACAACGAGATACACCCAAGCGGGAACAATATTTTGACGAAATCGATGGCGTGCCCTGTAAGCCTTTGTATAAAGGAATATGTTATAGTTGACATGTATATGTAATTGATACTTTCAGTGGATGAGGATTTGGATGGTGTGCCGATAGAGCAAGTGCAAAGATCAACAGATTCCAAGTCGCAGGCTAAAATGCCCGGTTTTATTCCATCTAAATGGGAAACGGTTGATCCGCAACAAGTTGAGGCCCAAGCCATAACCACAAGCAAGTGGGACACGTTGGATCCCCCAGATCCACCAAAGTTCTATAGTTCGGATGACGATAGCGATGGCGACAGCTCCCAAAAATTCAGCGACGAGAGTCGCCAAAAACTGCGCGAAATTGAAGTGAAAGTTGTGCAGTATCAAGATGAACTGGAGTCCGGAAAGAGACGCCTGGAACCGGGCTGGACACTTTCCGAGCAAGTTGCATACTATCGTAAACGTTTGCTCAAGCGGGTAAGTCATCGTGCAATCATTCTGAATTACAACAAATTATTTAGTCAAACTTACTTAACTCGAAATTGCATACCCACAGAATTCCCCCTCGGATTCTGTAGACTCACCGTTGAGCTACATGCACTCGAAATCGAGAAGTTTACAGCGCAGCGAGAGTCCTGACACCAGACATGCACTTAGCGCTCACTACAGCAGCAGCTCCCGATCCAGCCCCAGCTTACGCGCCAGTCGCAAGCGATCCCATTCGCCGTTGAGCGGAGGCGAGAGCAGTCGCAGTGGCAAGTCTACCAAGCGAAATCGGTCACGAAGTCAGTCGGACTCGCCCAAGCGCCACTCGGAGCGCTCTGGTCGCACTACTCGCAAATCTCCATCGCCAGCAACGTCATCCTACAGCTCACGTTCGAATCGACGCACCAGCGTGTCACCAGGACGCCACCGGTCGGAAAAGCACAAGCACAAACATCGCCATTAATGTGTTCTGAATTCTCTTGTAAAATGTTTATATATTCAGTAATTCAGTGAGCAGCCAAAGGTCTTGATCAAATGATTCTTGGTTTGGACTGAGAATAAATAAAATCATGCAGGAATGGCGAGTAGGTCAAAAACGGCCAATTGTTGATAACAATGATGGGTTGCTGTCGTGGATGGTTTAGGTGGCCTTGAGGGACGCCTCGTGCTTGTAGACTTCAATGACATCCTCGATTATTTCCCATTGATTCTCCCTGGTAAAGTCTTTGACCAATGGCTTATACCACATCGAAGCCTCGTCTGATTCGTCGGTCAGTGGCACCTGCACGCCATACGTTTGCAGTGCCAGAGACAAGCATCCAATGGCTACATGCGTAGGCTTGTACTTAAGAATATTTGGACTGTGGTGAAAGTCCTGTAGGTAGGAGGCGGCCGTCTTGGCAATCGGTACAGAGTTCCACACGTCCGATCCCACCCAATCCTGCAGTGTCTTCATGTAGTAGAGCAAATACTGCGCAAACGGAAAAAGAGAAAGTGCGTGGATTAACTGGCGCTCCAAAGAATTTCAAGTGTTACCTTGTGCGCAAGTTCAATGTTCAGGTCAAAGCTCAAGGTACGTGTTATCAACAGCTCGGCCTGGACAATAGCATCGCGCATGGCCCAGTACTCATCGTTTAGATCCAATGGAGCACTGCCGCGGTTAAGTGTGCTGTATGCCACGTTGATGACGTCGCGAATTTTAACGGTGTCGTCATCTTTGATTTTCCCAGCCAAGTAAAGCGAGGAGGCGGCTATCAGCTGTAAATAAACATTTTGAATATGTGCGCCATGGAGGGGCAACCTGATACTCACGAACTCGTCGTAGTCGCTGGGTTTGACCTCCTTGAAGAAGCGATGGTACACAATGGCGGCGCATGCGGCTGTCAGCGGCTTCATCTTTAGCTTGGCAGCACACTCGAAAATGTAAAGCGGAACGAGACCTGGTTTTGTGGATTTGCTGGTATATTTATAAGATGGATGGAGTTGTATGTCAGAAATTGGACCTCGAAACGCACAACTGACTCACCGATAATCAATGGGCTTCATGTTTTGTGCTTTGCTTGTCTCCACGTGCTGCTGCAACGACATGACATCCAAAACGTTTTTCATTTTATTAGCCGCAATATTTCACTAATCGGATACTTGAATTATCTAAAATGACGGGTTCGTTGCCACTAAACAGCAAAGAGACAGAGAAGCAGACAACTTTAATATGTTAATGTAAACCGTTTCCTCAGATCAGCTGTCTGCGACCGAACTCTAAAATTGACTGCAGGCAAAAAGGCAGACACGATGAAAATTCGAGACTCTGGCACGACAATACCCGAAACCGGTTCGACTGAAGCGGCCGAGTGCACAGTGGACAGTACTTACCAATTGTCGCCTGCCTGAGTGCACAGTGGTAAGAAAACAACAAAAACCCACCTGAGAGATACTTTTTCTTCTTATATGTATATAGCTGAAATTTGCGACGCAATATAATAATTTTCTTGACTGCACCTAGTGACAGACATTGGAGTAGAAATCAAGCGATGTGCAAATGGAAAATATTCAAAAATAACACAGTATTAGAGATAAATGTTTATTTATTATGCATGTAATTAAGAACTAGTGGGATTTTGTTTAATGGGGTTGTTAGGACTTTTACTCGTAAAAGTTCGCGGCTCAAGTAGTTCGATTCCGCCTAGCAAATTTATCTAAAGAACAATCTAGATGAGCGGCCAATTGTAAATAACATTTAAGGAAAAGCTGCCGCAATTCAACACTTTCATCCGCTCCGGTCAGCCAAACATTTCGTCGTCTTCCTCCTCCAGATCCACGCTCGAACTGCTTTAACCGCGCCAATAGGCAGGTTCACATTTTATTATATGTATATGATATTATGATTAATTGTTATTAGGGGCTACATTTAAAAGTAAATACGAACGGCCTCCTCGGCATTCTGTTCGACGGGACAGTAAGGACACTTCAGTATGTGCCCATTGCTCAGCTTGTGCAAGGCGTCGTTCGAGATGACATGTCCGCATGTCAGCTTCTTCGGTGGATTGTCCTCAGTGGTTTGTTGCCTGAGAATCGGGCAGGCGAAGATAGAGTGAAACCGAAACTCTGGCTGCAAATCGATCTCAATAGGCAGCTCGTCGCAGCCATTCCACATGCCCAGCACCTGGCGCGACTGCATTACCTGCTTGATGTTAAGCAGCGCAGGCAGCGCGGTGCAGCCTGCGTTTACCACCACCGAGAGGGCCGAGTTTTTGCTGATGCCCAACAGCTGGCAAGCGTCCTTGAGGAATGTGAACGATAGTTCAGTCCACATTTCCTGGGCAAGAAAGATCTTGTAGGGTGTTTTCTCAAGGCCACCGGGCAGATATATAAAGCTGGCCATCAAGTTGGCAATCTCATGCTCGTAACGCACGGCAAACTTTTGAAAGTTGGTCCTGGCGTACACGATGGCTTCGTGCTGGGACTCCAGGCCATAGGAAACCAGCTGCATGAATCGCATGCGATGCAGCCGGAACTCGATGAGCGAATGCCGCTCCATCAGCTGGCTCGAGTGCCGTATGGCCCACTTGAGGGCTTCAGACAGCTCGCGCTTCTGTATCTGTATCCAGATGCTGTAGATTTCGGCGAACTCGCGTTCCGAATCGAACACATCTTGGGCATCGTTCTCACTCATTTTACATTCCTTGATTAGCGTGCGGGCAACCTCGTCCATGCCCTGGCGGCAGTAATGTTTGGCGATGGCCTTGTTTAGTAGCATTAGGTTGTCCTCGTCCTGGAGTGCGTCCACGCGCATCGTCGAGCTGAAGTCAGAGCTAAAGTTGCGATCGATGGCCTTCCCAATCTTCGAAACCGAACCATGCGAGTCACGATGTTCCGTTGACAACTTCTGTACGCGATCATTGCACTTTAAGATAGCTTCTCTGATTATTTCCATTTGGCTATCGGTGAGACGTTGTGGAGCAGTTGGCTCTGTCTCCACTTGCATGCTCACGCCATCGCCCATGGGATCGTCTGTGCTGCTCGTGCCAGGCGCATTCATTTGCGTACCAGTATTGAGCGTGGTAACCAGCATCTGCTCCGCATTCCCCAAAACATTGACCAGCTCCGACATAAGCGACGCAACGTCTCCGATTTCGACCGAAGCGATCTCGTGCAGTTGCTCCAACTTGCTCACAACGCGGTCGAGCTCTTTCTCAACGGTCAAGCATGCCTCGTCGTCCATTATGTCGAACTCCGTCTGTGGCTCAGCAATAAATTTGGTTAATTTGGAGCGACGCCAATCAACAGCGCGCATTAGGTTTTTAGCCAAATACAATTTACGATGTTTTTAAACGCTATTTACTGGGACGCAAATCCGTTTTTCACTCCACGTTCTGTGTACCAATATATATTTATTTGGCAAATCTCAATTTTATTTTGGCTTTGTCTCTACAATAACAACACAAAGAAGAGCACCATCACTACCAGAGTTGCCCTGCAGCTCATACACGCACTTTTTTTCAATATCGCATTATGACAACTCTGGTGCACTGAGCAGCTGTTCATTATATGAAGCACGACAAAAACGCAAAATATGTATGTGTATACATGTATTACCTCAGATATTCAACTTACCCTGTGCTGTTGATTTAAGTAAATGATTCTGGTGCTTATTAAGATTAATGTCTGTCAAATTAAATCATTATTTCGCTACATAATAGACCGTTGTATGCGTAGACATTTAAGCCGGGAGAGTATAGATGCCAGGGTTGTGTTTTTGCTCAAGGCACGAATACCCAGCAGAACCTTGCTGTATAACAAAAGCACTTTACACAACCTGCTTTGCCGACACAGCGAATTTTCCAACTCTGTTCGATCTAACAAGAATACAATTGTTTTTTTTTTTGCCATGGTATTTGTAAGGAGCTAAACGTTTCGACACGTAATTAATAACTTTACAACTATTATTAAGATTGTTGTTGATGTTCGCAGAACTCGGATAATTTGTTGTTGTTTCTTAGTACTATTTATTAATATTACAAGATTGACAAACAAAGACTATATGTTAAAAAGCGGATAAAAATGGAAATAATTGGCGCCTAACTGTTGATCAATAAATATTAATTTGTCTAAACGTTTTGCAGCACTGCTACCAGACTGATTTGACTGTCGATAAATTGTGGTGGTGGACCAATAGGTTGGCCAGACGTATATTGATTTTCCGACCACACTTCATAACGACAAACACATAGTTTGAATTTAGAATTTAAGAGTTTTTGAATACTTAATTTAAATTAAGGTAAATTTGGATATGGATTAGCTTATGTGTTCAGCGGAAATTGCGAAAAAAAAAAAGAAAATGTGCATCAATAAAATTACGTCAAAAGTGTCACAAGTCGAGCGTTACATATTGGTATATTTATTTATAAATAATTATGAAAACATTTGTGAAGTGTGCGACATTGACTTCTTACAATGCCCGTGACTCTAAAAATAACCAATGTGAGGAGCACTGTCCATGTCCAGCGAATGTCAGATCTTGACCATACTAATAAAATCACGAAGGCACAAGTATTTAGAGATACTTAGCTGTGCCATGCGACTTGTTAATTAGAGTAAAACAATTGCAGAAGAGCAAAAAATACGTATGTATGTGTGCACTTTCAACACTTTCGCTAGTCAATGAGCTCGAAAGCGAAATGAAAATTGTTAGAGAGACGCTACTGTCTGGTCCCGACAAAAAACATTAGTACAATATACATATATATGCATGTTTACAGTCAAAAGAGCGTGCCGTGGAAATGATAGTAAATGTGAAAACAAACAACAAAAAAACAAATGCACATACATATGCACATATACATACATATGTATAGTGGTATGAAAATTCCGATATGCGGCTGATCAGCGCGTGCGCTTGTCCGGGTCCGTACACGGACGGGTCCGGGACTGTCAAAGTGCGCGGCGAGTGGAGGGCGGGCATGTTGCAAATTATTTTGTCGTATTCATTATATTTTAGTTTCGGCCAACTGTGCTGCAAATGCGGCACAAATAACAGACAAACGCCAAAAATTATGGCCGACTGACCGGGCGACGCGAGCAGCGAGCGACGCGTCGTCGTCGTCGTCGACGTCGCTGAGCTGTTTTTAAAAATTCGCTAATAGTTTCAAAATTTTGCTTGGCCAGTTCGGAAACAACATTGGAGCTTTGCGTAAGCATTCGTCGTTCGCAGTGCTATTGAATCTCTTAGATCAATAAATTTAAATTATTACTCTTGTTGTTATTGTTGCTGATTTGATTTGATTTTGTTTTGTGTATTTGTTTAAATGTGCGATCGTTAAACGTAAAACTGTGCTCAGTTTTGATCGCAATATTTATGGATCACGGCAAGAATTATTAGACAGCCAAAAAAGACTGAAAAGTGTGAGCGCTAAAAATAAAATAATCGGGACTGCTATTTATGTAATAAAATTTTTTGTGGCTAAAAACATCAAAATTGAAATACTCTGTAATTGTGACCAGGCAAAGTGATGTGTGCTCAGCTCCAAATAGCTTCAATATACGATATATACGAGGCGAATGCTTGTGCACAGGATTTATATAGATTGAAAATTGTATGTGCGTATTTTTCAGATAATGCAATAACAAGGCAGCAATAAATAGGAAAACTGCATTAACAAACGTAACAAAAATGAGCCAACGCCAAAGTTAACCTCAAATATTCGAACGCCGAAACACAAACAATAAGAGCATCAGGTAAAACACCAAAGAATTCTCAACTGGAGTACGAGCCGACACGGAGAGTTGCCTTAAGATTTGAGCTTTAAAAGGAACGCCTGCGAACACCTCAACATGTCCACAACATCGTCGCAGCATCAGCCAGAAGCGAAGCAGAAGCAGAAGAATCGCTCAGCCACGGAGGAGAGCATGTCGCCGAAGAAAATGGGCATCATTGCCATTGTGACCGTGGTGGGCTGCATTGCCATATTGTGGCCAAAAGTATTCCATCCCATGATGTTTGGCGGAGCGCCGCCCAAGCCAAGCTTTAAGGATCAGCCCCAGCGTGGCGCACCTGGCGGTGAGTGCTGGTCTTCACGTAATCTAACTATTATTTTAATTTATTAATTTCTTTTGTTTATTGAATATTGTACGTGTTCGTGTGTGTGTGTGTGTTGGTGTTGTCTTGCTCTGACCAGGTTGTTGTGATGTCGTGCTTGACAGGGAGCAGTTCATGAATGCCTCAAAGCCGGGCCTCGAGCCGTTCGGCCCCCATTTGTAT